ACGAACGCTAGCCTGAATAGTATCCCTCATATTGTTTGCATCAGTAGGCCGTCTTGGACGCTCCTTTTGCAAGAAATGGATAATAAGTAGCTGCGACCTACCAACGATAACGGTGGCGTTTTGTCCCACAGCCAGATGGGGTCACTGTCAGTAGCCCGGCAGGGCCTCTTGGAGTCGCTGTTATATGGCCAAACAAACATGTCCAATTCGTCTTCCGGCAAACCAAGCGCTTTGTACCAATCCCCAGCTTTGGACTCACGAGTTGTCGCCTGTTTTGATGGGACTGAATAGTCCAATGACACCATCTTTTACGGGTAAAGCCTTACTATAGGACTGACTTTCGGTGTTCCGTCGTTGCCTAGACCAGAAATACATGGCAAAAACGGGACGCCCGTATTCCGAGTTATTGTTAAGCTATATCACTGAGCGCCATCTCTAAATGCTCTTATCATAGGGCCTAACTAGCATAGGTCATAGTGTTTTCGATTTATCGATTGGGACTTAACATATGGACTCAACCTTTCCCGCACAGATAATTTGGCGTAGACTTCCCCTCCAGTTGCCTAACTGAGTTGGTACATATAGGGGAATATTTCGATAGTTAGACAGAGTTTCGCCATTGATAAGTCACTGAAAAGAATTAGGCCGTCAAATGCTGTTGTAATTCTCCACACGACTGTTAGAAAATACACAGTTATTTGCCCAAAACTACGCGACAATAAAAACTGCACCTTTACGAAATTTGTATGATCCTATGTGTGGTATGAAAAAATATAATTAATGGCATTGATAAAACTTATTCGGCCAATCTCGCGACCACAGTCAGTGGTCTTTTTCTGTCCCGACCACAATAAAATAGAATTTAATTTTTCACGAAACTCAGCTGATACTGAAAGCGTTTTGCCCACCTTCTTGGAAGCAATTGGGCCACAGCTATTTTCTTGCGCTCAAACCGCTATGCACAAGGCCAACGCATAAACGTAGTTGAAGCGAACGATAGCAATCGAATTTCTTAATTGAACTAGAACAGCATCAGTATTGCATAAAAGATGAAGGTACGATAACTGGGACAGTATTTTTATTTGTGGGAGCTTCCGGCTTCGTAGAAGGGACCGTCGTCAGAAAAAATGAGTGTGCAGCGAGAACTGGACTGTTTTGTAGTTCACCTACTAGAAAAAATGGGGGAGGAGGGTTGTATTCGTGGTAGGTTGAGTCCACACCCACCTCGTCGTCACGGCGCACGTTCTTGGCAGGGAACTGGGCCACGCCGCTTGGCCGGGCAAACGAAGGACGCTATAGCACGGGCTATATCAACATATCTGTTGATAGCGTTGGAGTCAGATACCCATGCCTCCAGTAGTTCTCGCTCCGTCTTATCATTGATTCGCGCCATTATCGGCATACCCGTGAAGTTGAATTTGTGCCCTTCCTCCAGGGGGTGGATAACGACCGGAGACAGTGGGTCGTCTTTCCGCGCTGCCCGTTAGTGTTCAAGTATTTGCGAACTAACTCTCCGCCCGGTCGACCCCGTAGGCGTGGACTCAGCCTACCACGAATGCAATCTCCTCGCCCCCCTCCCCATTTGCTCTCGCAACTGAGCTACAAAACACGCCAATTCCTGCTGCACATGCATTGCCTCTGAAGATAGCCTCTTATACGAAGCCGAAAGCTCAGACAACTAAAGATGCTGTCGCAGTGATCGCGCCTTCATCTTATTTTCAACAAGAATCTAGGGCTCGCATATTCACTTCTATTCGTGAGCACAACTATAACTAAGCATGTGGTCGCTCTCATCTGAGATTTAAATATACGGGAATATTTTGTTCATTAAAAGGATCAAACCAAACCTCATAGTATATGCGTACACTCACAAAATCTATATTCGGGAAAAAAACTGTTACGTTACTGCATCGACATAGATATCGATGGGCTTCTGAAACCAAGCCGCCACTTTCTGCTTTCCATTTGCACGTAATTTTTTTATATTTACGTCCGTTGGACTATTGCGCACATCAGAGACATATTTTTACTCCTTTTTGCTCATTCGAATTATAACAATGAAGTCATTAACGCAGGACATTAGCACCGTTTTGAAGAAGTCCAATTTTGCCTAATTTTTGCAGCTCACTCGAGGAAGATTTATCATGATATTGGCAATTGCAGTGTCCTGACACTATGCATCGTTTGTGATCTTTCGGCGGTATAGGATTTGGGTGCCTAATTTTGTTCATAGTGAATGGAGGAAGTTTTTACTGAAAATCGTAGAATTAAATTTTCAAAATAAAGTGTATCTCGCTTTCGCCTCCCATACTGCTGGTGCCCGTGTGCTATATTAAAAAGTTGTTCAGGTTGAGTTGGCATTGGATGGTTAGAGTTAGTATCGGGGTCAAATTTTGCACTTCGGAATCCGAATCTCTTGGAAGTTAATCCAGTAGCACCTAAAGTATGGTAGTACTTACATTCATGTTCAAAAAGTTTTTCATGATCATAACTCTACACAGCATACGACAGTCTGGAGGATGAAAGGTGGAAACATAACAGGTTCCCTGTTTTTAGTGCATGCGACTGTTGATTAAGACCCTTCACGCACTCCATGGAACGCATTCTGGTAGAACACCTAGAGCTAAAGTTGATGTTGCCTTGCTTTATTTTCCCTGTAGGTCCTCATGATAAAATTTAATTGAATACCTCACG